GAGCTTTTGGCTGCCCATGGGCCGCGGGCGGGTTTCGCGCCGCCACAAGACGAGGGTCAATTTTACACTTCTATTAATGTGAATGTTAATATGTCAATGTGAATATTCACATTGTCAATGGGCCGGACCGGGCCCGCCCCGGGCCGCCCATGGGCCGCGGGCGGGTTTCGCGCCGGCACGGGACGGGGGCCAATTTTACACTCCTATTAATGTGAATGTTAACATGTCAATGTGAATATTCACATTGTCAACGGCCCGGGCCCGCCCCGGCTCGCGGGGGGGTTTCAGGCCGCCCACGGGCCAATTTTACATTCCTACCAATGTGAATTTTAAAATATGAATGTTCACATCATTAAATTGCTAATCGTTGAAAAAATATTTATAAGGGTATCAAAATTAAATATAAGGGCATAAGTGTCCAAGAAAATAGTGTAAATCAAGAAAATGGACTTTATGGAATAAAACTATACATACATGGGACTAAATGGGTTAAAAAATTCCTTCATGGACTTTTTGGGTTAAAACACTTCTAAATTGGACTTATCAATAAAAATCCCTATTATAATATATAAACCCAATCAATTGAATTCAATCTTCTTTTGTTTTTTATTATTTTCTATTAAATACACCACCGCAAAATATGTACACGTACAAAATTATAAAATACTACAAATTAAACAACATATTAGTGATATAAACTAATTTGGTCAAAATGGGTTGGGTTTGGGATTAAAATGTCAATTTGATTTTTTCTGGTGAGGATGGTCAAAATAAAGTGTCCAAGTCTTAGGGCCGGTCAAAATAGGGTGTCTACAGATCCTAACGGTCACCTGCAACAAACAGAAGCTATAGAGGAGGAATTTGGGCCTTGGATGCTTGTGACCAAAAGAGGACGCAGGCCTATTCAGAGTAGGAAAATTCAGGAGACAACTATCTCAACTGCAAAAGCCTAACAAATTCAAATACCTTGAGGACAGCCACGAAAGGCAAAGTGAAAACCCAAGGGGAAGGAAAACTAACAGAACAGACTTTGAGAAGGCCTAGAGAGACCCTACAACCTAGAAAGGCCAAGCCAACAACCTAAAGACACCAAGAGTAATAGGAAAATTGGTGTGACTACCACAAAAATTAATGAGCTCTGCAACCAAACCACACCCCAATCAATGACCCACCCTGTTGGTGCAAGCTCATCAAATCTTGGCAGAGATTCTACTACAGAGATACCACTTCTTGAACAAGCGAAGCAAGCTGTGTACACCACAAAGGAACAACAAAAGCATGTTGTGCCTAACATCAACTGTGCTTCGGTAACTTCAACAAGGTAAGAATACTCTACCATGGTTGAGGCTAACCCATAACAAACCCACCCCAGCAAGTCCTATACAGACCCATTCCTTAATCCTACCTTTCAGGAACCTCATGAAAAGAATGAGCCTCTAGACCTAGGAGAGTGTAACGATGGAGAGGAAAGAAGTCGAGGAACATCTGAGGCAGAATAGCTCAGTGGGATTATTGTTAGAACCAGGGAAAAAAGCTCTTCACCTAGTCGCTTTCGTCTGGTGGATAGAGCAAGTACGATTGACAATCGAGCTAAGTTGGGGGGACAACCCAACTCAGCTATACCACTCAATTCAAATGGCATCCCTCAGGTCAGTAAAAGCCGATCATTGGAGGATCCGTAGTATCATTACAGATCTTGCAACTGAAGACCCCCCATCATTCCCTTCCATGGATTTGCTACGACTACTATTTTGGAATTGTTGCGGAGCCGGTAATAACTCATTTAAGCGTAATCTTGTGGAGATCATCCAAGCTCACAAACCAGAGATCATTGTTCTTATGGAAACTAAAATTGCTTATAGTAAAATGAGCAACTTCTTCACTAGGCTTGGCACTGCCTCGTCTATAGTTAATCCTGTGGATAGAGTAGGTGGCATCTGGGTAATCTGGGATACCAACCATGTCAATGTTCTAGCTTCTATGGTTAGCCCACAAGCTATCCACACAACGATTCATAAAGAGAATTATGAAGATTGGGTCATAGCTGCTGTCTATGCCAGCCCCGACCCAGTACTTTGTAACCAATTATGGAAAGATTTGGAGGATAAAGCTGAAACCATGGATAAGCCTTGGCTGGTTGCTTGGGATTTTAACGACTATGCCAGCCTTAATGAAATAAGAAGCTTCTCACCATCACATAATATTGGCAGGACCCAAAAATTCTTTGATCGAGTAAACAGCTGCAACCTTATTGACCTAGGAAGCTCTGGGCCTCGTATGACTTGCACTAATAATAGACAAGGATTGACCAACACCATGGAAAGACTCGACAGGGCAGTGTGCAATGCGGAATGGAGAACCATGTTCCCTGAAGCTACTGTTAGAGTCCTCCCTAGGACTTATTCAGATCATTCACCTCTTGTGGTCTACATCCAAGGTATGCATCTTCTAAACCCCCTAAATAGGCCCTTTAGATTCGAGGCTGCTTGGATGTCTCATCCCGGCCTTATTGATATTATTAAATCTTCTTGGCTCTCTATGAATAATAAACTTCTTGATGCCACTACTGAATTTACTCATAGAGTCACAGACTAGAATAAAGATATCTTTGGAAATATCTTTAAACGTAAAAGGAGGCTCATTGCACGAATTGAAGGTACTCAAAAAGCTCTTGCTGAGAAATTCACTCACAGCCTCCAAACCTTTGAAAAAAACTTGATAACTGAGTACAATGAAACTTTATTCCAAGAGGAAATGTTTTGGTTCCAAAAATTGAGATCTAAATATATCACTCTTGGGGATAAAAATACTAGATATTTCCACATATCCACCACAACCAAAAGGAGAAGACTTAAAATCAATGCTCTCAAAGATGATGGTGGTAACTGGATCACTGATACTAATGGGGTTAAGAGCATTATCATTAATTACTTTAGAAACCTCTTCAGTAAAGAAGATATTCAAACTCTTGAACATTGGAAGAATATCACACCTATCAAATTTACTAGAGAAGATAATGATGGCCTCATGCGACCTATCTCCACCATTGAAATCCACTAAGCTGTTAAAGATATTGGGGCATTTAAAGCCCCAGGGAAAGATGGTATCTAAGCAATCTTTCATCGAAACTATTGGAGTACCATTGGTAACTCAGCGTGTGAGTTTGTCCAACTTTGCTTCCAAAGCAAATCTGTGCCTGAAACTGTTAATGAGACTCTTATTGTCCTTATCCCCAAAATTGAGAACCCTGAAAGTATTAAGCAATTTAGACCCATTAGCCTTTGCAATGTTACGTACAAGATTATTTCCAAACTAATTATGACTAGAATTAGACCATTGCTTAATAACTTGGTGAGCCCTAATCAATGTAGTTTCATCCCTGGGTGCAATACTACTGACAATATTATTATAATCCAGGAGATCCTGCATACATTGAGACATAAAAAAGGTAGGATTGGGGGCATAATTTTTAAGATCGATTTGGAAAAAGCTTATGATAGACTTTCTTGGGACTTTATTAGGGATACACTTATTGAGTTAAACCTGGATGAAAGTTGGATTAACCTTATTATGAGTTGTGTCACTAACAATAATTTTAATATTCTTTAGAATAAGGGAGTGTTGGAAGGTATGGAAAATAAAAGAGGGTTAAGGCAAGGTGATCCCCTCTCTCCTTACCTATTTGTGCTCTGCATGGAGAGACTCTCCCATATGATAAGCTCTAAGGTTAATAAGGGCAGCTGGAAGAGCATTAAAGCTGCACGTACCAGCCCACCTATTTCCCACATTTTCTTCGCTGATGACCTCATCTTATTTGCTAAAGCAGACCACCAGAATTGTGAAGTAGTCATGGAGGTCTTGTCTGAATTTTGTGTGGTGTCTGGCCAGAGAGTCAACTACACAAAGTCCAAACTCTTTGTATCTCCTAATGTGCCTCATCATAAGGCATTATCTTTCAACTTCCAAAGTGAAATCCCTCTTACCCAAGACCTTGGCAAATACCTGGGCTCCCCTATGATTCATGGAAGAATTAATAGAAACATGTTTAGGGAGACTATGGAGAAACTAAAAAGCAGGCTTTCAGGTTGGAAGGCCAGAAACCTCTCCCATGCTGGTAGGTCAACTCTTATCCAATCTATCACTTCTGCTCTCCCTATCTATAATATGCAGACTATGGAACTGTCTCGAAGCTTATGTGATGAGAATGATAGGCTTAATAGGAATTTTCTTTGGGGGGAGACTGATAACACCAAAAGAGTTCACCTGGTTAATTAGGACAGTGTGTGTAAAAGTAAGACCGATGGAGGCCTAGGTCTTAGAAAGGCTAGGGATCATAATGCAGCTTTTCTAACAAAACTTGGGTGGGAAATGTTGATTGAAAAAGATAAACTTTGGTGCAAAGTGCTTCAATCCAAATATTTAATACATCATAACATTTTTAATTGGCCCCTCTAAAGAAGCTATTCTCATATCTGAAAAAGTATTTGTAAAAATAGGGACACTTTGAGAAAGAGAGTTAAATGGAATATTGGGAATGAGGAAAGCATATCCTTGTGGAATGACTGGTGGTGTGGTGATCAACCATTGTATAATACCCATAGTCACCAACAGATTGATGACTAAACTAAAGTTAGCTCAGTACTGGACAGTGAAGGCAATTGGAACATCGAAGTGTTGCAAAATCTGGTCTGCTTTCGGTCCATTCAAGAAATTCTCAAAATCCATAGGCCCAGATTTGTGACCTTCACAGATGCTCCTTTTTGGGTTGGTTCCACCAGTGGTCAGTTCAATACTACTACAGCTTTTAAACTTATTGCTCCCCAGGACATGAGTGGTGGGGATTGGAATTGGATTTGGAAACTCAAAATCCCTCAAAAATTGAAAAATTTCATCTGGCTTATTCTTAAGGTAAGGTTGCTCACTAATCACTTGAGACTCGTAAGGAATATGGCCTCAATCGACTTATGCCCCAGATGTGGATTAGCTAGTAAAGACATGAATCATCTCCTTCGAGAGTGCAACTCATCCAAAAACATTTGGGTTCAAATAAAGGACACTAAATGGTGGGAGGATGGATGTAGTCAGCCTCTTTTTGAATGGGTTATTAAGAATTTGAAAATTAAAACCCAATTTTTTGGTACAAACTGGTATATTTTTTTCATTGTTACACATTGGCAGTTATGGAAAGATCGAAACAAACTTATTTTTGAAAACCAATCTACATCCATTCAAATCAGTTTCAAGAGCATAAGAATTTATGTCCATGAGATTGATGAGGCCTTCTAATCTATCCTCTACCCGAATCCCTCTCATCATAGACTAATCAAATGGTTTTGTCCACCTGTAGAAATGCTGAAATTGAATATTGATGGCTGCTCAAAAGAAGACCCCGGACAAGCTGGATATGGAGGCCTGCTGAAAGATGAAACTGGGATATGGATCTAGGGATTCTATGGAAAACTAGGCCACTGCTCAAGCCTTGAAGCCGAATTGTGGGCTGTCTACAGAGGCTTAACTATCCTCTTCCAAAAAGGTACCAAAGATATGGAAATCAAAACTGATTCAGCACTGACAATCAACCAGATTCAAGATGGCCCAGGCCCCAACTCACCTTACATAGCCCTCATAGAAGACGCTAAATTCCTACTGAAAAGATGTAACTGTTCTCTGCGCCACACCCTTAGAGAGGGGAACAAATGTGCTGATAAATTTGCTAACTTAGGTGTTGCACAAGCTGAGTATATTGTGTTACATGCAGACCCTCCTGAGCAACTGAAACAGTTGATCATAGATGACTTAACTGGAGTTGGTGAGATGAGAGACTGACCTCTTGTCTTTGTGTTGTATCTATTTTATTGTTTCTGCTTTGCTCCTATTTTCTATTTCCTTTGAATAAAAAAAAAAAAAACATTTTACTTTTTTAAACTAAAAAGTAAACCAAACATGGCTTATATTTTCTCATTATTTAGGGAAGTTCAACGTGACTTATCCTAAAATAATTGAAAACGAAGGAAGGATAAATGAGATAAATTCTCAGAACGTGGGGGCATTTCGGTCAATTAACACCATCACCAGAACCTAGGATTTTATGACGTAAAACCCTAACGACCGCCGTTCGAAGCTTCTTCTTCCATCCGGAACTCTCACTCCCGTCTCTCTCGCTCCTATTCTCGGTAATTCGTCTTACTTTCTCTCTCTACTATCTTCAATTATTTCTGCGTTGCATTCAATTTCCACCATATATATATATATATATATATTCAGTTTTACATGCTATATATGTAGATATAAACATGTATGTGTGTTGTCTTGAACGCAATCTTATAGATATTATTGTAGCTTTTATCATTTTTATTTTTTCATAATGCTCGAGTTTGTTATTTTTTTTTATTAATTTGTTTAATGCATATGCTGAATTTGAATAGATTTGTTAATTATTGTAGAACACGGTTGTAGCTGTTCATCTCTATTTAAACTTAGATAGAAAATGATGGGTTCGATTTCAAATACCTGGAACTTGAGTGCACGTCAAGTGGTTGAATGATCTCTAGATTCCTAGCAGTGTATTATGACGTGAGTAGGGATTTGGAAATGGATATGGAATTGGAAGAAGTTTGGCAATTGATATTTTAGTTGCTTTTTAGAGTCTAAAAAATGTTAATGTGTTTAGTAATTATTAAAAAACTTTATTTTGTTAGTGGGAAAGTGTGGGGTTTGCTCTTACGGGGAAGAACATCTAACCCCCGACTGTGCTAACCTAACTTAGAGCATCTCCAACGGTGACTCAAATTTTTCATCAAATTTGAGTCAAAAATGGCCCATTTCACTAAATTTGATACCACTCGCTCCAACGGTTCACCTTTCACCAAATTTGTCCCGGGACAACCGGGTGGTCGACCGGCCGGTTGACCGGTTAGGCAAAATTTTTTATTTATTTATTTTGTAACGGTTTGAACTTTTTTTCCTGAACTGTTTGAATCTTTTACTGGTTGACCGGTTGGTCAACCGGCCGGGCAACCGGCTGGTTGACCGGTGTACCTCTTTTCAACGGTCAGTAACAGTGATTTGGTAAATCTGTGTCTCGTTCTCAGTTTGATGCTTTTTTTGCTGAAATCTCATTTTGATATCAATCTGGTGCAACGGTTGGAGCTTGAAAAAGTAGGTTTTTCATCAAAATTTGAATTTGATGCTGGGTTTGGTTCACCGTTGGAGATGGTCTTAGGTGGAGTTTGGCAATTCATTTTTTAGAATGTAAAAACCCTAATACATTTGGCATTTGCTAAAAAGATTATTTTTTGTTGCCATTTGGCAAAAAGTTCGTTTGACAAATTTTATTTTTTTTTTGACTTTTGTGAGAAAAAAAATGAAATGATTATAGTTTGGATATGACATTTTGTCTTATTGACTTATTTAGTCTATTTTATCTTTTATCTTTTTTTAATCCCAACTGGGATAGCCAAATGCGGGAAATTTGGCCTTTTAGGTGTTTTAGCTCAAGAAAATTAGGCCTATGCTCTTTGGCTAGCCCAAGCCTAATGGGCTTTACTGATCCACCTTTTTTTTATTGTTTATTTTTTTCTTTCTTTTTCTCAAAGGTAGGATTTCATAAAAAAATGATAAATATCAGGTGTTAAGCAGGGAAGCCATCCTCTAATAGAGGACCAACTAACCAAGAAGGGGGGATTGCCTCCAAACATTGAACTTCCTCCCCGAAAACACAGCTCTGCGCCAGTGAGTGAGCAACATTATTCAGTGGTCTACGCACAAAACTAAAATGCACTTGACCGAAGCTACGACATAGCTGCAAAATGTCATGCACAATAACACCAATGCTTTGATCCACACTCCAATCCACTAACATCCTACCCAGTCCAAAAAGGCAAACAAAAAATATTTCAAATACCTGGGTAATTTGATTTGTTCTTATCGAACTAGTTTTGTCTGTCTTGTCAAATTCAGGTGCTTTGAGCTTTGCAAAGTTGTTGGCTTTTGAACCAATCTTGCCAAGATGCAGAATGAGGAGGGACAGAACATGGATCTTTACATCCCCAGGAAGTGGTATATTTTTTATTGAATTTTATTTTCGTTGTTTGTATTTCATATTTTCTTTTAAATTTCTTAGGCTAATATCAATTAAGTTGGCTATGGGAGGTTTGACCCATTTATCTCTCGTGTTGTTGCAGTTCTGCCACAAACAGGCTGATCACTGCTAAGGATCATGCATCTGTCCAAATTAACGTTGGGCATTTGGATGAGGCTGGCTGTTATACTGGTCAATTCACCACTTTTGCGCTCTGTGGATTTGTTCGTGCCCAGGTTCTTGTTCTTGCTTTTATAATGCCTTTTGAAGCATAAGTAATGTTCTTGTTGTTATTGTTTTGCACTTTAGTCTGTGTTTTAAATTTTCCTTTTTGATGCTACTTTACTAGCTTAACAATATCTAATATGAATTGTCAGTTATGTTCGATGAAAGTAATATGCATCAGATGGTTTTTGGATCAATCACCCACACCCTCCAATCTTTTCTTTGACGTTGTTATGATGTGTGAATTGCATTTTGCCCATATTGGTGTGTATACCAAATTCCTGCACTCCCCTAAACAACTATGTTAATGTATGAAGTTAGCTGTCAATGTTGGACATGATCGAGCAATTTTGATCAATTCTGTTGAGGCCTTTAATGGAAGACTAAGAAGTACATACATTTCTAAGAAGGTGCATGTCTTTGTCATGTTTGTGTCTGACACATTTCCGGCACCAACACCCTTCGGACACTTCCCAACATGTGTTATACTCATACACATCCCAATGTGTTACTACTTTTAAAAAATCTTTTTCAGACCTAGACTTGCTGTGGACACTCAGGAGACATATGTCCATCACTTAGATACACATAAAATATACTATAAGTTTGAATATAAAATAACTTCTACAACGATAAAAGAAAAATAATGTAAATTAATACTTATTAATCCCTTATCTTTTACACTTAGCAATTAGTGTTCTATTTTATTTTATTTACCTATTAATGGAATATTCATATATATGACATATAATAAATATATAAAATTATATATTTTGTGCGTGTACCTCATGTGTTGTGTCTTGCATTTTTTTTAAAATTCATGTATTGGTGTGTCTGTGTCTGTGCTTCTTAGATATAGAACAAATGAAATTCATATAGAAGTCTTGAAGATATTTAATATAAAAATTTGAATTAAGTTGTCATATCATTTGGGAGAGATTGGAAGGAGTGTGAAAGTCTGCATCAAGTTGGTTGATTCATCTCTCCATTTGAACCCAACTAATATTTCATAAAGTAAACCGTAAATTCTGACTAAATTGCTGTTTGCATTTAATTCAGTTTAGGCAGGGTGGATGTTTTTGGAGAGGTGGAAAACTCTTTCTCATATGAAAAAATTCTGAAGGCTGGGGATTCAAAAGAGTATTTCTGGAGAGGAAGAATGGTAATAAAAAAGTTTTTACACTTTGCGTGTGAAGGAAAGAGATCCATGTGCTCTGCTCTTTATGCTATGAGTTAGCTTTAGGCAATTTTCAATACTTCGAAACTTTCAATTGGTTGATGAAATTTCCATTCTCTCTTATTTTCTGCATTTTATTGTCTAAGGTGTTTCTTGATTGAGAGTTCGCTTGTGGGGAGATGCCAATGCATTGCATTTGGTTTTCTTGGTTTTTCACTTATGGTATGGATATGGCTGTTGTTACTAGTGTCGTACTCAGTTGGTGATTCAGTGTCTTTATTTCTCAGGGAGATGCTGACAGTGCTGTTGATAGGCTCTGGCAGAAGAAGAAAGTTGAAGCCCGACAACAGTGATTCACATTGTCAGTTGTTTGTGTTTCTAATATGCACCCTTGAGTTTTAGGGAGTTTACAAAAGTGACTTTCTATTTCTATGGCCAATGTTGAAGTTGATTAGTAGCAAGAATGAGATTCTTTGAATTGTTGGTGAACATATTTTTGAATACTTCTAATATTCTCAATCAAAATTTAGATCAATATCTTTTGAGAGCTTCTGAAGTGTCAAGTATGGTCTTGTTAATTTGTGTTGGCTTTTCTATAATTTATTGTGCAATTATGTTTGGTACCTGCCTCTTGTTTGTTCTTTGGCTTCTTTTACTGAAGGAGTTTGGTCCTACTGTTTTTTTGATCGCCATGACTTGTGAGTGTGAACTTGGGGAAGGAAAAATATGGTTTGATTTTGCTGTAACGCCTTTTTAAAATTTGCTTCCTTTTGCCATGATTTCATTACTAAGTTTGCATGTAATGATTGCAACTAGCTACCGTGTTTAAAAATATACAATGGATTGAAGTCCAGATTGATGGCTGAATTTCACAATTACAGGTATGAATTATATGTTGAATCTGGCTCTAATCAATTCACTGCCTTCACTTTTACAAAAGAAGTTTTTGTTTAATTTCTTTCACAAAAGGTCGGAGTTGGGAAGTTTTTGTTGCTTGTATCTGTTCTGATGCTGCTACCAGGCATTTTTTTTTTTTTTTTATATATAATTGTTGCCAGTTAAACTAGTTTGAGTGAGGTGGTGGCGGCAGTGTTAATGGTGGTTGTGTGGTGGCGGGGATAGTGGTGTCAGTAGTGGTAGGGTGGAGGTGATGGAATGGAAATTATGGAAACTATTGCTTTTCTTTTTCTCTTTCTTTTTTGTATTCTTTTGATCTGTTTTTTCTTTCTTTTTGTTGTGCAGCATTGCATACTGGAAAATGTTTTAGGTATTTAACCCACCAATAGAATATGCTAGATTGATAACTTTCTAATTGTTGAGAGTAACCTTGTTTATGAGATGGTTGCTTGAATTGTCTGACTGCTTTTGATTCTACTATGTTGACATTACTTTTAATGAATAGATTACGGTGATATACTCATCTCTCATGACATATATGAGACCCACGGTATGAGCCACACGTATTTTTCTTTTGGGGCTCTCCATGAGCACTTGACTGCTCTTCTTTCGTCTCTTTTTTTTCCTTCTTTTTTCTAAATTTTAGTTTTTGTGGAGAATTTCTCAATTTCGTAGTTTAGCATAGCATTAAATCATACTATAGCATGGTGTACTTGCGCATATTATGCATAAATAAAATATTTCAAAAAATATCTTACACTAACTATTATCAATTCATTATTTGCTTTGATATTTTAGGATGAAGATTCTTTATAATGGTGCAATAATCTTATTATGGTAATTCAATGATTTTTGTTTAAAGTTACAACAATATTATGTTATTTTAGGATGTATAGTTTTAATGTTATTTTTAAACCGTTGGATTATGTACTTATTTTGATGTGTGTTGGTGTTATAGAAAACATAACAATGTGTAATTTTTTTTGTTGACATGAGATAAATTGATCATATTGTGTGGCCCTTCACCTCATGCCTTTGCATTTAGAAACACAATTCACAACATGACATTCACTATGTCAAACTTTTCATATTCTTCCCAACCTAATATATGGCCTTGTTTGGTAGAGTTGTGAGAAATTGATTATAACTTATAGTCTAACAGCTTATAACTTATAACTGTGAACATAAACTGATTTTTAACCTATGTGTTAACTTAAAAAAAAAACAAAAAAAATAAAATTTGAACCATTAACAAAAGGTAAAGGTAAGAAGTCCCACCTTTTGGGACATTGTCTCTTTCTCTTTAACTACCCCATGAAACATACACCCAATTAGGTTAGGCATATGTGGCTCAAAAATATGATGATTTTCAATTCAACCTAGTCCTTGATTAGTGGGACATGTTTTTGATTTTTGCTTGGCCATTAGCTAGACCTATCTTTTAGGTATGAATTTTTCCTCGAGAACAACAGAAAAATGAAGTTAGGTAACACTCAACCAATTGTTTCTATGTTGTGTTAAGTTTTTGTTTCTTTTTAACTGCCAACTTGGTGTATTCATTTGTTCTTAATTTGGTTATTATTATTAGTATTATTATAGGTGTACCTTGGTGGTTGTGCACACATTGTGTATGTTATGAAATCTACAATTGAAGCACTTGGGAGATTTTGTAGAGGGAAAAAAAAAACTGAAGCGATTTTGTATGGCATAATTGTTCTTATGTGAACATTTTCGGGGAAAAGAAAAAAGAAAAAAAACATATTACTTCAAATTTCATCAACTTTACTCTAGATTTCATATCGTAGTCTAGATGTTACACAAACTCATAAATTTTATGATTTTTTCTTATTCATTGACTTCTCACCTATCATGTTATTGAAGTAAGGATTGTTTTAGATTTCAAAGTTTTTTATTGTATATATCAATTAGTTAAAAAAATTTATAAGACTTGCTAAAGTGGCATGCATTATGATTGAAATATTTATTCAAGAGGTGGTTTATATATATATATATATATGGCAGTGGCTTTGGTCCAGTCCAAGATCGGACTGGACCGTGCTGTTGGGCCCGTGAAGGCCTATCATGAATCCCGTTTTGATAATTCGAACCGTTCAATGTGTAGAACTCGTTGAGTACTATATGATTGATAAAAATTATGTTGATCGGATATCGATAGCTATGTGAACAAAACAGTTTTTTATCAACCGTTAATTTTTTTACCGTCCATTTTTTTTAATACAAAACTGATTTGATCACATAACTATTGATATCCGATCAACGTGATTTTTTACAGGCATATAGTACTCAACGAGTTCTACACACCAACGGTTCAGATTATCAAAACGGGCCCAAAAAATGGACCCCATGGGCCTGACTGGATGGGTCCAGTCTTGATCTCAATTTGAGACAAGCTCGACCCTATATATATATATATATATATATATTCTCATCTAGTCAAAAAAATTAAACTGTGCATATATTTTCTCACATGTTTATATATATAAGTTATTAAATGATCATTTTGATCATAAAATTGGTATGAGCTATTCAAACATCTTTTTTTCATTCTCTTTTATAACAAAATGTTAAAAGAATGTTAAGATTGAAACAAATCAAAACATTGAGATAGTAAAATATA